GTGTCAGCTGTGGCAAAGACCAAGTCGTCGACGTACACGAGGATGTAGAACGGCGGCAGAGAAGTGTCGGTGCGTAGAGACAGCGACGGGTCGGCAGTAGAGGGAGCAAACCCAAGAGCCGCAAGCGTAGTCCTTAGTGTGTCGTGCCACTCACGCGGTGCCTGGCGGAGACCGTAGACTGGCCGCCGGAGGCTCCACTGGGTGCCAGGAGGAAAAGTCCCAGTGAAGCCAAGTGGGCGGCGCAGCCAGATCTCCTCGTGCAGGCTGCCCTGCAGGAAAGCAGTGCTGAAGTCAAGAGAGTGTAGCTCGTAGTCACGGTGAGCAGCTACGTGCAACAGTACCCGAAGAGTGGTCATCTTCGGGGTGGGAGAGAAGGTCTGAAAGTAGTCAACTCCCTGCCGCTGACTGAAGCCACGAGCCACGTAACGCGCCTTGAAGACAGGCGGAGAACCCGGCGGCCGCTTCACCCTGAAAATCCACATGCCACTGACGATGTTCGCCCCAGGAGGGGGGACAGCGTCAACGTAGGTGCCTGTGGACTTCCAGGAAGCCATCTCTGCATCCATAGCTGCCTGCCACTGAGAAGAGTAGGGACCCTCTATCGCCTCCGCGTAAGAGCGCGGAGTCGGGATGTCAAGTGCATCCGGGTCTCCCTCAGGGGTAAGCAGTACGGACACGAGATGAGGTGAAGCAGCAGCCAAGCACTGGAACTCCTCCTGCCTGTCCTCAAGGACGTCCGTGCCAAGGGCACACTTACCCCCGACGGAAGGAGGACAGACAGACTCAGACTCACTGACAAGACTAGCAGCGTAGTCTAGACGACAGCGAGAGGCAAAGTCGACGAGCTCAGTAACTAGGGCAGACGCAGCAGTGGACTCAAAGGAAGGGTCAGTGACAACAGTAGCAAGGAGACGCGTGACAGTAGGACTGGCAGCACGAAGAGAGTCCGACTCCGGGTCAGGAAGAGCAGGAAGAGAGGACTCAGGAGGAGAAGGCAAAGGGGTACGCAGAGGAGTAGTGGACGGACGTAGAGACATCCGGTGCGTGCCAGGGACAGGAGGAGGACGCTGACGCGAACCACGACCACTAGTGCGAGCAGCACGGACAGGCGACGCAGGGCGAGACGCAGGCTCACGACGCTCAGCAAGACCTCCAGTAGGACCAGTGTAGGGAGAAGGAGCAGGCAGTGGGGAGGCGGGCTGTAACTGTAACTGTGACTGGACAGGCTGTGGACACTCGAAGGGAGGAGGAGGACCGGGAGAAGGCGGGAGACCAAGAACCTGCTGAAGGAGCGGAACGAAGTACGGCCGGTGTCGGGCAGCGACTCCAGAACCAGCAGAGACACCAGCACCAGGGTCCTCAGCAACAGCAGCAGCTCCAACTCCCGGGTCCTCAGCACCAGCAGCAGCTCCAACGCCCGACTCCACAGCACCAGCAGCAGCACCAGCGCCAGGGTCCTCAGAACCAGCAGTAGCTCCAACGCCCGGGTCCGCAGTACCAGCAGCAGCTCCAACGCCCGGGTCCTCAGCACCAGCAGCAGCTCCAACGCCCGCGTCCTCAGCACCAGCAGCAGCTCCAACGGCAGCAGCGGGGTCCGCGACACCAGGCGCGCCACTCCGAAGAGTGCAGCGGCGCACGTACCACTCACGGATCCGCTCACGGGAGGGGAGCTCCCGGCTAGGAGGAGAAGCACTAGCACCAGTCCGAGTAGTACGCCTGGCCCCAGAGGTACCTCTCCCGAGGCTGCAGTACTGTAAGTACCACTCACGCAGCTGCTCCGAGGAGAGGGCTCCTCCAGGTGTAGGACTCTCAGGCTCAGGACCTCCAGACTCAGAACCCCCAGACTCCGGACTCTGCGGCTCAGCACCCCCAGGCTCAGCACCCCCAGGCTCAGTACCCCCAAGCTCCGCACCCCCAGGCTCAGCACCCCCAGGCTCAGTACCCCAAAGCTCCGCACCCCCAGGCTCAGCACCCCCAGGCTCCGCACCCCCAGGCTCCGCACCCCCAGGCTCAGCACCCGCAGCAGGACGAGAGTCGACAGCTACCTCAACAGGCTCAACCGGGTCTACCTGAGACACACCTTAGGGAGCGGCACCCTGAGGGGGGAGGGGGTCTACGACAGCAGCACCTGGCGCGAGGAAGAGAGGCGGGGGGGGGAGCGGGGCAGTGCGGTAGGGGAAGAGGTGGTAGTAGGGGACGGACTCGTCAAAAGTGACGTCCTGAGAGGGCAAGACTCGGCGCGAGGTGGCGTGGTAAAACTGCCAACCAGGCGCGTCCGGGACAAAGCCGAGGAAGACGCAGGGAACAGCACGGGAGGAGAGCTTGTCCGCAGACGTATCGCGGACAAAAGCTCGAGATCCCCAGACCCGGAAACGCGACGCATCGCCAACCTCCCCCGTCCACAGCAGTGTGGGCGAGGTCTCCGGCAAGGAGACACGGGGCCAGAGGTTGAGCTGATGCGCAGCGTACCGGACCGCAAACGGCCACAGAAAGTGGGGGGCAGCCGCATGGATCAAGGAGGTACGGGCGACCTCCATGACCAGGCCAATGCGGCGCTCTGCAACCCCATTCTGCTGTGGAGAGGCCGGAAGCGTGAACGACTGCTCAATGCCGTGCTCAGCACAGTATGCTGCCAAGAGGTCGGAGGAGAACTCACCACCTCTGTCAGAGTGCAAGCGCAGGACAGGAAAGTCCGAGTGAAAACGCTCGCTGAGCTGGAGACGGGCACTGCGGATCCAAGGGATCAAGACATCAGGGACCTCACCCTTGGTGCGCAAGGGGAAGACCGTGGTGTAGCGCGAGTAGTCGTCAACAACTATCAGGAAGTACCTCTCCTGACCCTGACCACGGACGCGGGCTGGGCCCCACACGTCCATGTGGAGCGTCTGCAAGGGAGCAGTAGTCGGGGGAAACGAGGAGGAGTGAGGAGCGGCGCGCTGCCGCCCCTCGACACAGGGAAGGCAGGGAGGAGCGGGCGAGGGCGGGAGGGGAGGGAGGACCCTGGGAAGACCAGAGACAAGGTACCGGGAGTGCATGGCACGAAGGCGCTGCACAGACGGGTGACCAAGTCGGTGGTGCCAGAGGACAGTCTCGTGCGCCTGAGAGCGACACGAGCAGGGGGCAGAGAGCTGACCTGACGCGGACGCAGACGCAGACGCAGCGACCTGAGGGGACTCAGTGGTCAGTGTGTACAGGTCCGACCCCGGCTGCCGTGTGAAGGTAGCCAGGTGGCGGCCCGTACGAGCACACGTGCAGTGTGTCACGCGCTCGTAGGCAGGGGTGAACTGGTGAACACCCCCGTCCTGGAGTGCACAACCTGCCACCAAGTTCGTAGAGAACGAGGGGAGGTGGAGACCTGACAGTGTGCCCGACGGGACCGCAGGACAGGGAAGGACAGTGGAGGAGGTCGCAATGACCGGACCCCCAGAGGGGTCAGCGAGGGAGACAGCAACTGGTCGAGTAAGCGGCTCAAGGGCAGTGCGGTCTCGAAAGAAGCAGCGAGAAGCACCTGAGTCCAGCGTGAAGGTGTGCAGTGCTGCAGTCGACTCAGTACCAGGGGGGGCAGACGTACAAGCACCTAGAGCAGCTGCCTCACCAGCACCTGGGGTAGCAGACACGTGAGTACCTGGAGCGGCAGACGCACTAGTCCTAATGCCCGGGTCGGGCGGCACACACAGGTACTCAGCACCGTCATCAACGCTGACAGCGGGTGGCGGCGGCGGTGGTGGTGGTGGTGGTGGTGGTGAGAGAAGCGGCAGGAAGAGCAGGATGATGAAGGCAGTGCTGAAGCTGTTTGGGAAGAGCCGGGGGAAAGGCCAGAGCCAGAGCCAGAGGCAGAGTGAGAGGCAGAGCCAGGGCGAGAACAAGAACAGCACGCAGGGAGCACCTGCAGATGCTCCAGCTAGCCAGATCACCCCTTCACTGAATTCCCGTTCCCTTAAGGGGCTGGATGTTGCTGGGTCTGCTTTTGGGGGCTCGTTTTGCTCTCTGGCTGCTGCCGCTGTTGTTGATGCTGCTGGTGGTGCTGCTTCTGGTGCTGCTTCTGGTGCTGGTGCTGGTGCTGGTGCTGGTGCTGTTGTTGATGCTGCTGGTGGTGCTGCTTCTGGTGCTGGTGCTGGTGCTGGTGCTGGTGCTGGTGCTGGTGCTGGTGCTGGTGCTGGTGCTGCTTCTGGTGCTGGTGCTGGTGCTGGTGCTGGTGCTGGTGCTGGTGCTGGTGCTGCTTCTGGTGCTGGTGATGATGCTGAATCTGTTGGTGACCTTGACGCTGATGCAGGAGAGACACTCTTCGACCTCCCATACTCATCCAATGGTCACCACCATGACGAGTTTTACGCTGACTTCACGATGCCTCTTTCCGAAAGCCCCACATCTCTTTACGGCAACACTAACAGCAGCACGGACGTGTTGACTCGCTTCAAGCGTGCTCTCTCTGACAAGACCGAGCGACCCCTGCCTCTTTTTGAGGACGTTCTTTATCCGGGCAGCAGTCCACGCCTTCCTGACAGCAGCACTGATGTGTTGGCCCGCTTCAAACGCGCTCTCTCTGACAACACTGAGCGGCCCCGGCACGACTCCCCACAGCACAGCCCATACGCTGCTGCTGCGGCATCGTCCTATGCAGCCTCCTCTCAGCATTCAACGCACACTGCCTCTCCACCTCCAAACTCAGATGTGTATGGTATCCCCGTGCACACTACTCCCGTGTACCCTTCTCCACTGCGTCGCCATCAGCCACGCAGCAGCATCGTCTGTAGCAATGTCAGGTGCACCCACAATCCTGGCAGCAGCAGCGTGTGCAGCAGAAGCAGGAGCGTCTACATACCTGGGGGCGGCAGCGGTGATATCAGCAGCAGCAGTGTGGGGGGCAGCGACAGCATGAGCGTCAGCAGTCACGGCAGCAGCAGCAGCAGCAGAAAGGTATCCCGGGCCCTCACCCCCACGCACACGTCTCACCTGCAAGCCTCCCCTTTAACCACGCACTATGTTTATCGCATGGCCAGTGGAGGTGGGGGAGGAGGAGGAGTAGCAGGAGGGGGAGGAGCTTTTGGGCTCTCTCCCACGTCCGTCCCACGCCCCGTCTCTCGCTGGCACAGGAGGAGCCGGTCTCTCACAATGCTGCAGCGAGCCTACGGTTCGGCCAGTGAGTTCCTGGGCTCGAGTGATCTGGATCTGCTCCTGCTGCAAGAAGCACCTGAATCAGATGAGTCACAGGAATTTCAGGGGTTGCAGGCATTGCAGGGAGCAGCGGCAGCACGGGAAGGACAGGAGGCTCAAGTAAGGCCCGTGCCCCGGCTCCCTCCAAAGAGTCCCCGAGTCCCTCGCAGCTCACAGGCGCGTGCAGACTCGCCTCGGAATCCCTTCTGGAATTCGTCCCAGAACCCGCCCCAGAACTCGGCAGGAACGTTTGGGTGGGGCGAGAATGTGACCCAAAAACTGCCCGAGAATTTGCCAGGAAACTGGCCCCAGAAATCGACTCAGAAATTGGCCCACAAGTTGCCCCAGAGCGTGTGGCAAGTGTCTTCACGTGGCGCTCAGCCTTCACAGCCTGAGGCGAGCACTGGTTCCTCTGCTCTCATGCGAAGCCAACGAGCAAAAGCTGCTGCCTTGGAATCAACTGAGAGCTGCAGGCATCCACCTGCTGGGGAAGAGCATTTGCTGCTGCAGCAGCAGGAACGGGAGCAGCAGCAGGGAGAGGAGGGGTTGAAGCAGGCAGCAGAAGGGCAGAAACTGCGGCAGGTGGCACACGGGCAGGTGGCACAAGGGCAGGAGGCGGAAGGGCACAGTGTGGGGCATGGGGGCTATGAGGCAGTGAGAGCCTCAGCAGCAGCACAACTGGCGCCACTCATTTGCCTCACCCCGCCCTGCACTTCCCCAGTTGACGCCTCCCCTTCACCAGCTAATGCCTCCCCGTCACAAGGTAGCGCCTCCCCTTTCCCAGTTGATGCCTCCCCTACCCCAGTTACAACCTCGCCTTGGCCCTTTGGCAGCAGTAGCAGCAGAAGCAGCAGAAGCATGAGCAGCAGAGACATAAAATCAGCAGCTGCAGCTGCTGCTGCTGCTGACGCTGCTCTCACCGCTGCCGCTTCAATCATCGCAGGAACAGCAGGAGCTCAAATAGAGGCAGTGGGTGGGTTCGTGGATGGATATGTGCACGGTTTTGAGCCGCCTCAGAACCCGGTTGATGATGGGTATGTGGATCGATACGCAGTCAAGGAGGTGAGTTTGGATGAGCAGCAGCAGAGGCAGCAGCAGCAGAAGCTGCAGCAGAATATAAAGGAGGAGTGGAGGGGAATGGGGGAGAGGGTTGTGGAGATGGAGGATGAGGAGAGGGAGGGGAAGGAAGAACAGGAAGAGGAGGCAGAGGAGGGATCTGCTCAGAAGCACCATACAGCAGCAGCAGGAGAAAGCACAATTTCATGGATGGACTTGAGCTACAACTTCTCGTCTCATCCTGGCGACTCACAGGATTCCAAAATCGTGTGTTCTTATATTGAGGAGCTTGTTGCCGGTGGTCGTTCTGATAGCGAGGAGGATGGCAGTGGCGTGTGTGCTTATAACGAAGCCCTTGCCGAGTGTGTGTATGGGGATGGTTCCTCAGCGAATGCTCCAAGGGAAAACACATGCAGTGGGGAAGAAGGGAGCATGGCGAGCGGCTATGGCAGGCGAGCACACAGGAGCAACAGCGTGGGAAGGAGTATCCAGGGCGTGGAATTTGCAACTATCACTCCTGAAACCCAAGATGGGAGGCGATCGCGACACCGCAGGAGTGCCAGTGTCGCATGCGAACACACCTTTGAACGCGCCCTTGAAACGACCTTTGTTCCGACCCTGCGGCGCCGTGACAGTATGGGGAGCGTGGGGAGTGTGGGCAGTGCGAGTCTGGTGTGTGAGCGGATTTTGAGTGTGTGTGACATCTCACCTGTCCCCATTATCCTCTCTTCCCACCTGGACAGTCCCGGTTGGACTCGTAGGGCTGCTGAAGCAAAGATTCATGATGTGTACTTTGCAGGTAGTGATAATGTGTATGCAACAGTGGCAGTTGCAGAAGGAGGAGGAGAAGGAGAAGTGGCAGCAGAGGCATGGTCTGCGTCATCCGATGCAGTTGCGGACTACGCTTCTGTCGCAGCAGGGGCAGCTGTAGGATCATCCACAGGAGCAGCTTTAGGGGTAGCAGCAGGAGCAGCAGCAGGAGCGGCAGAAGGGGCAGCAGAAGCAGCAGCAGCAGGCCGAGCAACCCCCTCTGCTGCACCCCAGTTGCCAAGGAGACCTGCAGTTTCACGGCCGGGTGCGTCTAGAAGGTTTCTTCGGACCTCCAGCTGCCCTGATATTGAGGGCATGCCATTCGGCATTGGGCAGCCGCAAGCTGCACCTGCAGCAGCAGCAGCAGCAGCAGTAGGAAAAGCAGAAGCAGTAGCAGCAGTAGCTGCAGCAGAAGCAGCAGCAGAAGAAGAAGATGCAGAAGGGGAGGGAGGGAAGGAGGAGCAGGAGTCACTTGAGTCTCGGTTGAGGCGGTGGCATGAGAGCATGGGTGCCTCATCTTCCTTCTCCCCCTCACATCCTCCCCCCAGAGGGCTCTTTGTGCCCGGCCTGCCCCACTGGACCAAGCGGTCGCTCCCTCGCTCGCTGCGCATCTCCCGCTCGCTGCTCTCCTTTCAAGAGCGAGCGCTGCTGGAGCACCGTCAAGAGACCGCCCTCCTGCAGGGCATGGCTGGCAGATTAGATGGGAAAAACGATGGCGAGAAGGACGGTGAAAACGATCCGTGGAGTGTGAGGAATGGGGAGAGTGACGAAGCGATTGGCGAGGGGAGCAAGGAGGAGAGGAACAAGAGGAGAGCGAGGAGGTGTGCTCGAGCCAACAGCGACGGAGGTGTGGGCTCCCTGCTGTCAGCAGCAGCAGCAGCAGTAGCAGCACCGGTGTCCCCTGGCGAGTCGATTCGAGCGGCCGTGACGGTTTACTCGGCTTCCAGGGAGTTCTGGCGCCCCCCCTCCACCCCCAAGCCTGTGAAGCAAGCCAAGGTGTGCCTCCCCATGTACTCCCCCCCTGTGCCGCCCATCGGCCTCGAGAAGCTGATGGAGGGCGGGACTGGGGCAGGTGGGACTGGTGGGTTTGCTGGATTTGGTGGGGGAGGGGGGTGGGGGTTTGGTGCAGGCTGGTGGGGTGCGGTAGAGGGAGCAGGGGAAGAAAGGAAGGAGGGGACAGGAGAGGCTGGGTGGCTGGGGTTTGAAGGGTTGGTGGATGCGGCACGGGGGATGATGTGGAGGGGAGGAGATGAAGGTGGGGAGGGGGCAAAGGAGGAGGAGAAAGAGGGGAGTTTACGTGCAGCTACAGGGAAGGAGGGTATTGGGTACCAGGAAGGAGGGAGAGAGGCCGTGGAAGGAGAAGAGAAGGGTTTGACTGTAGAAAAGGAGGGAAAATGTTTTGAGAAAGGAGATGAGGAGGGAGATACAGGGGGGATTGCAGGAGAGGAAGGAACAAAGGGAGGTGGGTGACATACCAACAGAAAGAGGTGACTCGTGTTGGGCTGAGTGCCCCTTAGGATCTTTGGTAGGGTTAAACTCTGGGTAGAGTGATGTAGTAGCGGAAGCGTTTAAATGAAGTCCTTGAACCACCTTGCGCTGGTATGTGAGGGCAAAGTAAGTTGATTAAAACAAGCAAGTACAAAGGTTTATATAAGAGTACAAAGAATACGAAGAGATATAATTAAACTGTTTTACTGTTGCGGTTCGATACAGTGCGACTCGGGCAACTGCTCAATGTCGAGTCAGTTGTGTGTCCTTGCTGTCGCGCTGCATTTGTCAAGTCAAAGGTCGCTGACCTTTGACTTTCGCGTAACCTCCAGCGGTTACTTCAACCTCCGAGGGTTGACTCGCTGGTGCCTCGATATGCTCTGCTTCGCTTGTGCCTTGGTGTTTCGACACGACAGAGGCGCTTAAGATTGTTTGTTCCCAACACTCCCCTTCGCTTCTGGAGTGTCGCTGCTGGTGACGTGGCTTTGTCCAGTCAGCAGCATGCAGTACTCGAACTTCTGTTTTTCCGAGCTTCTTGGTCAAGTAGTCAGCTGCCATCTCGGACGTGGGACAGTAGGATAGTTCAAGTCTCCCCTTCTCAATCTCGTCTTTCACGAAGAAATATCGCAGAGCGATATGCTTCGTTCTGTTCGCGAATCCATTTTTGTTGGCGATGCGAATTGCAGATTGGTTGTCGCAGAACAGAGTGAAGTTGGGTAACTCGGCTAACTTCGCTTCTTCCAGCAGCTCGCGAAGATAGAGTCCTTCCTTGGTGGCTGAGCAGAGTGCAATATATTCTGCTTCAGCTGACGAGAGAGCAATTAATTCCTGCTTGCTCGATTGCCAGGAGATCGGTCCGATAGGTTCGAGGCGGTAGATGTAGCCGGTGCGGGAGCGCCTGTTGTCGGAGTCGCCAGCGTGATCAGCGTCGACGTAGCCGATTAATTTAGTCGGTGTAGTTGTGTTCTTGTAGTAAGTTAGGCCGATCGTTGAGGTACTGACGAAGTAGTGGAGAGCGCGGTCGAGCTCCGCCAGGTGTTCTGCTTCAGGCTTCTTCAGGTAGGTGGCGAGCTGGCTTGCGGAGTATGAGAGGTCGGGGCGGCAGGTGACAGCTGCGAAGAGAAGGCATCCTAGCTTTCTCTGGTAGTCGCGTATCCCGGCGGATTTGAGTAGAGAGGATCCTTCCTTGTGGTTTCCTGTCGCGTAGCGGTAGGGCGTAGAGATGGTGGTAGGTGTGAGCGCGAAGCGTTTGGCGATGGTGTACTTAGCGGCGTTGAGGTAGATCGCGCCTTCTTCTTCCCGAATGTTCAAGCCGAGGTACTGTGTGACGGTAGAGGAGACCGTGAGTGTGAGGTCCCTCTGTAGCTCCCCTTCGAACCAGGTGGTGATGTCGTCAGTGGAGCCGATGTAGAGTAGGTCGTCTACGTAGACGATCAGCAGAATGTAGTCGGTGTCTTTAGTGAGTCGGTACATTCCTTGGTCGTGAGGTAGTTGGCGGAATCCGATGCGAATGAGGCGAGCGTGTAGGTACTGTTGCCATAGCCGCGGAGCTTGCTTGATCCCGTAAAGTGATTCCAGCAGTTGACAGACTTGGTTAGGTTCCCCGTTGGTACCGTGTGGGAGCTCGACGAAGATTTCCACGTCGACAGGTGCGTAGAGGAACGCGTTGGCGACATCGATTTGCCGTAGCTTCCTTTTCTTCATGGCGGCGATCGCGAGGAGGATTCGAAGTGAGGTATGTCGGCTAACCGGGGCGAATGTCTCGGTGAAGTCCCGTCCGTGCTCCTGATCGAATCCACGCACAACCCAGCGTGCTTTGAACTTCTCAATTGTGCCGTCTGCTTTTGTTTTAACGCGGAAGACCCATTTCCCGGTGAGAATGGTCTTGTTCCTTGCCACGCTGATGGGGACAAATTTCCAGGTGTTCCGTTCCTCCAGCGCCTTTAACTCTCTGTCCATGGCTTCACGCCATTTTTCCCTGTGTTCCCCCCCCAGAGCCTGCTGAACCGTCGCAGGCTCCTTAGGAAGAGTGTTGCCGTGGACTGCGGTGACGAGTCCGAGAATCTGCAGTCCAGTCTGTGAGTAGCGGGGAAGAGTTGCATCCTCGGGATAAGCTGCTTCATCTCCCGCTTCTGGATCAGGTATGAAATTCGGTCCTACTCGTTCTGCTTCGTTGGTGTTGACTGTCGCAGGTGTTACGTAACCGTTGTCGGCGAAGTAGTAGAAGGTTTCGGCGTTGACACTTTCGCGAGGGTTATCTTCGTCCATGGGGACGTCGACGGAGCAGAACGGAAGGGGTCCAGCTTCTTCTGATGCGTTGGCCACATTCTGCTCGTCCCAGTCAGCTTCGTCTGCTGCCGAGGCGAAGGCTCGGTCACCACGAAAACCACCTGTGGGATCTTGGTCCTCTTGCAGGTTGGCAAGGTATGTCTGGAGCGTGAGTCGTTCGTAGAAAATGACGTCGCGTGTTGCTACTGTTTCCTTGGAGTGGACGTCAAAGATTTTCCACGCGTTGTAGTTCTTTTTGATGCCGAGGTGTAGTCCCCACTGTGCGCGTTGTGAAAATCGGCCCGCTCGTGCTGCTGGGGGTCGGTACTGTACCATGCATCCGAACACTCGTAACATTTTTGTGCTGCCCTGTTTTCCTGTCCACAGCAGATGCGGTGATGCGTTGTTCGGTAGTGATGAAGATGAGAGCAAGTTGTGCAGCATGACAGCGTGGTCCATCGCGTCAGGCCACTGGTGGTTGGGTAGCCGCATGCCACGCAACAGTTTGCGCATGCTGTTCTGCAGAGTCCTGTTCATTCTTTCTGCTACACCTTGCTGCTGATGGGCGTAGGGAAGAGAGAGGAGCTGCTTGATTCCCCTTTCCGCCAGGTACTGCTTGAATCGCTGAGAGGTGTATTCTCCTCCTCCGTCAGACTGGAAGCTTTTCAGCTTTACGCCCGACTCTCTTTCTGCTACTGGTAGCCAAGCAGCGAATGCTTCGAGGACCATGTCGCGGCTGGGTAGGTTTAGATGCCAGACGTAACGGGTGGCGGCGTCGATGAAGGTGATTGTGTAGTTGTATATTACTTGTCCTGGTTCCCGATTGTACAGGATGTCGCTATACACCTTTTCGAGTGGTGCGTACGCGGGTGTGCTCGGGTTGTGATGAGGAGTGAACGACCGATGTGGTAAGTCGGCTTCGGGGCAGGTAAGACATGTTCCTCGTGCCCGTTGAAGTTCTCTGCCGTCGAGTAGTAGTAACGAGTCCTTGTCAAGGACTCCTGCTCTTATTGTGTTGTTTAACACAGTGTTGCTTGGGTGTCCCATGCGTGCGTGCCAGATGTCTTCGGAGGCGCGGTGTCCGGGTGAGCGTCGATACGCGTCGGAGTTGGAGTAGAAGCTGGCGGTGAAGTTTGCGCTTCTATGGACTTCCCGTTGAGCCGGATTCAGCTGCTGTGCGGGTGTTGGTGGTGCTTCGTCAACGAGGAGTGGTGTCGTTGTTGCTGCTACTGTTGTTGTTCCTGCTACTGCCGATGATGTCTCTGCTGCTGCCGATGATGTCTCTGCTGCTGCCGATGTTGTCTCTGCTGCTGCCGATGTTGTCTCTGCTGCTGCCGATGTTGTCTCTGCTGCTGCCGATGTTGTCTCTGCTGCTGCCGATGTTGTCTCTGTTGCTGCCGATGTTGTCTCTGCTGCTGCCGAATGTTGTATTGTTACTAACGCACGTGTTCGTTCTGCTTCAGGAATGGTATGTGAATACCAAAAGCCTTCCGGACTGAAGTCGGGGTCGAGATCCGGCGGGTGCGTCCAAGTTGTGAAGGTGACGATCCCGTCACTGTCTGCGGTGCCCAGGTCTGGGACGAAATCGAGAACGAAGACATTGTTCTTCAGGACCGCCTTTCCGATGTAGAAGCCGCCCTTCCCGTGGTACAGCTTGAACTCCTGGGTGGTACTGTCGGCTTCCAGATGTATGCCTTTCGCCATCAACTGACTGACGCTCAGTAAGTTGTAGCCAAGTCCTTCTGCTATTAGGACTTTGGACATTTGCAGTATGACATTCGTCTCTCGTGACTGAAGTTGCACTACTCCTTGTCGTCGTGTGCGCAGGTTCTGATTATTGGCGACAGTGATGACGACTTCTCGTTGAAGTTGGTGCTCGCGTTGAACGAAACGTCCTGAAGAGCACATATGTTGTCCGCAGCAACTGTCCAAGAACCATGTATCCTTCCCGGACGGCTCGCTTTGAGTGATGGCAGCATACGTCGGGTTCGGTTGAAGTGACTCGCGGCGAGGCGTGCTGTTGTCGAGTTGTTCTTCTGGTGAGTAATATGGTGGTGACTCAGTTACGCAGGAGTCACTCAGCCTTGCCATGCAGCTGACGATGTTTCTTGTTCCTTTCGCAGGTTGTCCCGTCGATGTTGTTGAGACTTGTACTGAAGTTGTCGGATTTGCTTGTGTTGAGGCGACTTGACTGCTTGAAGGGCGAAGTTGGCGTTGCGGCGACGTTGACTGTTGTCGATTCGGGCAGTGCGTACGAGGATGCCCTGAAGTCTTGCAGAGGTGGCAAAACGGAGGTACGATTTTCGGTCGATTGTTGTTGTTGTTGTGGCGCCGTTGAGTGTGAAACGCGAATTCGGGCACTGATACCTTTCTCTTGTGTCGTTCTTCTTGCAGGTCCATGTCTTGCTGCTCGGCGTGGATTTCGGCGCAAAGTGCTGCTTCAGAAATTTTCCCGTGGGCTCGTAGTATGGCGCGAGTGGAGCGCCAGTGAGGACCAAGACCGCCGATGACAACCGTGACGAAGGCGTCCTCTGAAATCGATCCTCCACATTGAAGAAGCTTGTCGCGCAGCTCGCGGCAGCGACTGATATACGCCATTCCCTTCTCGCCTGGTTTCATTTCGATTGTTGTCAGCTGCGCCATTAACCGACTTTGGTTTACGCTGTCTGTTGCTTGATACAGGCTCTTCAAGTGATTGTACGCGAGCTCCGCGGAGTTGCCGTAGCCTCGGTAAGACCGTATGTTTTGTTGTTGAGTTGGAGTGATGTTGGGCAGGGCCGGGATGACGACGGGAGGGGCCGACGCGCGGCCCCCCTTCAGTCGCCCCTCCCGTCGCCTGTCGAGGCGAGCCGCGCGGCCCCCCCCCCCCGGGCGCCGCGACGGGCGACGGGAATTGGGGCCGCGCGGGCCCCCCCGGGCGACGAAACCGCCGTGCGCCCCGGGGCGCGTGACGGGCAGGGCACCGCCGCGCGCCACGGGGCGCACGACGGGCAGAGAAGGGCGTCGCGCGGCCCCCAGGGCGGCGCGACGGTCAGAAAACCGCTGCGCGCCTCGAGCGCGCGGCGGGAAGAAAATTGGCCGCGCGCCATGGGCGCGCAGCTGACAGAAAGACAGTGCGCGCCCGAGGCGCGCGATAGGCAGGACAGCAGGAGCAGCAGCGGAAGCTAACGGTGGGCCCATGTACAGGATCGACCCGTGAGGGTCGACCTGCTCTGATTCCATGTTAAGAAACAGTTGAAAGTTAGAAATGAGAAAGAGAGGGTTTCACTAGCAAGCAGTTGAGTACATATAGGAAACCCTAGATTGGGCTGTACTCACTATTGAGTACCCCACTGCAGGCTAGACAAATATAACATATTCTGACAGTGTAATCCTACACTTTTGCTAATCCTACTCCCTGTTGTTGATTGCATGTGTGACAGCTGGATGTGACTGAGATTTCGAAGACTATTGAGTCCACCACGGGTGACCTGACTGAGCGCTACTTGACGACAAACAAACCGTTCGGGGGCGAGGGGAAGAGCTGGCTGGTAAACTTCCTCAAGGTCCACAAGGAGGGTGGAGGCAAGCAGGTCCGGGTTCGAGGCGTGGACGGAGAGGGATGCCCAATCAACCACCTCTATACCATGCATGAGAGGAAGCTGAAGGGCCACAAGCAGGGAAGCACCTACGCAGACTGCGTGAAGCTGTGCCGCCAATTTGCCCGCGACTGCGTGGACAACCTGAACGAACGGCTGGATGACCTTGGGAAGCTGGGCCCGACGAAGCTGTTCCGGGCGGGGAAGTGGCCGAAGATCAAGGCCCAGCGAGAGAAGAAGTGCAAGGAGTGGCTGTACGGATGCAGCAGGCTCTTCGGCCACAAGCTGCCGGGATTCGACCTCAAAGCAGCATAGAGGGAGCTCCCGACATTCTGCGCGATCATGGAGTCACACCATGAGATGGAGAGCTTCGCCCAGGGCCTTAACAACTTTCTTGGGAGCGTAGACTCAAAGAGGTAGGCCACTGCATGCGTACGAGCTTTTTACCTATTTGATTTTTATGTTGGTGATTATTAACATGTTGAATTCCAACTTGTTGATTTATTAAGTTCATACTTTTACATGTTTTGTTGTGATTCGAATGTGCCTGGCAGGAGATGGCCCAACCTCATCCTGCTGTGGCAGGCGCTGGCTGTGCTTCCCCTCTCCACCGTGGAGTGCGAGAGGGGGTTCTCCAGGCAGAACATCATCAAGTCCTGGGTGCGTGGAGCGCTCTGCAACGCGCGTCTGGGGGAGCTGATGCAGATATCGCTCCTGAAGTACGAGATCGAATGGCCGGAGGCACTAGAGGTGTGGAGGTCCATGCGGAGGAGGCGCCCTGTGAAGAGCCTGAAGCTGGCCGTGGCAGAGAGGGAGAGGAAGGGGAAGCAGAAGGAGGGTGAAGCTGTGGCTGCTGGAACTGCGGGGAGAACGAGGACGAGGGGGAGGAGGAGGAGGAGGACGATGAAGTGGAACAGGACTTGGCCGACGATCAGGAGGTCGTGGAAGAGGATGACAACCCTTACCTGTCAGACGATGAGGACGTAGAGGAGGTGTACTTCATTGACAAACCCGTGCACTAGATAGTGTAGGAAAGTTGAAGTTGTTGTATCAGTCATTTTGAAGTGTAGTGCAGTGTTAATAGCAACCCTGATTTTGAGCTGTGAACCCTGACGGATCAGACTAGGACTTTGTTCGACACTGAGCTATCAGGGTAGCTTCCCTGTGAAAAATGTGCGATCATAATAGAGGGGGAAATTTTTTCCGGGAATCAGGGAGGCCTAAAACGAAACGTCAGCCCTGCCACCACACCAACAGTCTGGATTGGTCAAGCGCCTCAACCTGCAGCTGGGCGACCAGGTCCTGACGCGCAGTCCAAGTCAAACCCACTCGCGAAAATTACGAAACGCAGAATACCGAAGTTCCGACCCCTCGCCAACTTCGCCAAACACGCCGACGAAGTTATAGCCCCGTGATCAACTCGCCGACAAATCCCGCATCGCAATCAATCTCTGAATTTCACGGCAAGTTTCATTTCGAGGGGTTGAGTTACCAATAAGAAATTACAGAGTGTCGCGACTCGGTAGTGCGACTCGATTTGTGAATGCATCCTATAAAATTGTATGTGAAAATTGTTGAAGTGATATTGGAAATTCCAGAGAACTCAAGAGAGCATCTTGTACCCGTTTTCCAAGCATACTAAGGCGCCACCTTCCTTGCACCCTCCGGAGAGAGGAAAAGGACAGCTTGAACGGCCGCCAGCCGATCAAAGCGACAAATGTCGCTCGCCAGCCGACCTAAGCGACGAATGCTGCTCGCCGGTCGTGACGGAAACCTGACGTCGCCAGGCTGGCACATATCGCCGGTGCCTAATGAGTCGATGGCCGTTCATGGCGATAGCTTGAAGCCGTCAGGAGGAGGATGGCACTGGTTGTCGTTGTCGCCTCGCCAGTGCCTGCCTGTCCAGTCGACGGCGTGTGGTGGTGGTGGACTGATGCGCGACAAGGCATGTCTCACGACCCTGCTTTTGACGAATCCCGAGCCAGAAGTTTTTCCTTGCGGAACTCCTTAACGCGGACACCCTTGCCGAACCGTTCTTCCACCGCCAGAGCGATCGTCAAGTCGTGTAGATGTGTTCGAGAATGTCACACCTGCATTGCTCCTGCGAACCGCTACGCAAGGCGATTGGTTGTCCCGGTCAAGATGCGTTCAAGATGCCTGTCGTGATAAAACGGTTTAGAATGAGAGGCGTGGATGGGAACATTTTTCGAGCCGCACAATTGTTGACGTGCGTGGGAACGAGAGACTCCTAGCGCCGCTCGAAGCACACAGCGTGACACCTAGAGTCAACACAATGGTTCCGCTCCTAGTCGCCTTCTTATGGGTCGAGGCATCGCATTCTGGGTACTTGTTTCCTATCGTCGGTGTTGTTTTTAACGGGAGAGAGAGAGAGGATCAATAGCCGTTACCGGATCTCACTTTTGATATGGCTGGCTGCCGATGATAGCTCTCTCCAAGTTCAAACCAAGTTCTGGTAGTAACGGCTCCGCTACTAGCAGTAGGACTAGTAGTCCGAGTTGTTCCTCAGCCGTACAAGCCCTCAGACACAATCCCTCCTTGGCATCCAGTCGTGATCCGACGTTTCTTGTAACAAGTGGTCTGTTCCAATCCGACGTTCCTTGGCATCGTGTCGTGCTCCAACACGAAAGCACGCGCTTTTCCTGATAAAGCCGTTCACAGCCATGGACGTTTGTGACTATATCGAGTTCGGTCTCCCCGGATCCGTGCTGTACCGGGGCTTTCTCCTGTCGGACCCTCCCGCTTCCGCTACCTCCACCGCACCTGGTGTTGTTACCGCGTCCAACAAGTCGCAGTCTTCGCCTTCACCTTCGCCTTATTCGATTATTCAGTCTGGGCAAGATCAAGAGGACACCACGATCATCCACCCGATCTCCACGTGGTATGACGTTCCGATTCGCCCTGCTAACTCAGGTTTGTCGCACGGCGGCGGCGGCCTGGATGGGCTTATGGCGGGCGACTGCGTTTCCATGGTGTGCTGCACGCCGCGTAACTCGTGGGTGCAAATCGGGGCGGCTTGCAACGAGGTGTGTCACCCTCTGCGCGTTCGCCAGGTGGACGGTTTGCCCTCTCATTACAGTCACAATCTCGATTGGAACCTCGGGATCATCCCGCAGACGTGCTCGTGCCGCCAAGGCGACAACGGAGTTCCCCAGTCTGGATCTGGCGACAAGGCATGCGACGCGGCGACATGCGCGACCATGTGCGACAATGCATGCGAGAGGGGGAGCGACCAACACGCGCCGTTGGAGGTGATCGAAATCGGAAGCGGGGAGGCTCGAGTGGGGCAGGTGTATCTGGTGAAGCCGCTGCTCGCTTTCCTCGTCGTCAGCCCCGATCTCAAGTCGTCCTGGAAGATCGTGGCCGTCGATTCTTCGGATCCGATGGCTGAGACGTTGCTGGATTCGCGAAGTGGTTACCCGGTTTGGCTGGAAGCGAAGCTGGGCGAAATCGTGGAGTGGCTGAAATACTACAAGTGTAACACCGTTTGTAAGTGGAGCCTCCATTCCACTCTGGCATGAGCAAGCGCAACCTCACCTCACCTCACTCGCCCCTTCAGTTTCTGGTCCATGCACCTCCCTAATACCCCTTCATGCTCTCTCGTGCCGTCCTCCCTGACTCCTTTCTCCCTTGTGCCGTGCTCCCTGGTTTCTCTCTCCCTTCTTTCGCACCGTAATTTCCCCATTCCCCCGGAACCCCATCCTCTTCCGTTCTCTCTCAACCATTATCCCTCCTGTTCCTCTTTGTCCTTTCCCCTGTCTCCCACCCCTTACCCCTTCTAGACCCTTTACTACCCCACCCCCCCACCCCACAACCCTCGTCCAGTCGATCTGCCCAGCACCATCGCGGGTCGTGAGAAGCCAGTGCCCTTGCATCGCACCTATTATCCTCCCCTCGCCCTCATCCCGCCCTCGTCCCTCCCCACCCCTCCCCACCCCTTCTCACTTCTTCCCCCCTCCCTTCCAGTCGATCCGCCCAGCACCATCGCGGGTCGTGAGAAGCCAGCGCCCTTGCATCGCACCATCGCCGCCATCAGCGCCGCCCATGCCGCCTGGACGCACTGCCGCCGCTACAGCAGCAGCAGCGCCAGCAGCACCAACACTACGAGCAGCAGCATTCCCAGGGACGGAGTTTCACTAAAGGATCTGAGGCAGCTCGCAGAGCAAACGGCCTCTGCTGCTCTCACCAACGCCATCTCTGAATTCGCCCGCGTGCCCTTCGCCCAACCTGCCTCCTTGCCTGTCGCCACTGCAGATGGTGCTTCTGTTGCCGAACCTGTGGGCCAGCAGGTTCGGAAGCAACGCCTGTTCCGAAGGTCAGGCTCGGAGCCAGGCTGGTGTGGCATGCGGAAGAAGGAGATTTCATTTAGAATTGACGAGCGAGCGGATGATTCAAGTGAGACTGATGGTGGGGGTGGGGATTGGGGGAGAGGAGACGAAGAAGGATGGCAAGTGTATGATGATGTGGAACAACAGCAGAAGCAGCAGCAGGCGCAGAAGCAGGGAGGGTTGGCGCGTATGAAAGTGCGGTGGCAGCAGCAGTGGCAACAGCAGCAGCAGCAGCAGCAGCAGCAGCAACAGCAGCAGCAGCAGAAGCAGCAGCAGCAGCAGAAGCAGCAGCAGCAGCAGCAGCAGCAGCAGCAGCAGCAGCAGCAGCAGCAGCAGCAGCAGCAGCAGCAGCAGCAGCAGCAGCAGCAGCAGCAGCAGCAGGAGAAGCATCCGCAGCAGAAGGGGAAGCAGCAACAGCAGGAGGGGAAGCAGCAGCAGCAGGAGCAGCTGGAGGAGCAGGGGAAACAGACACAGCAGCAGGTGAAGCTGCAGCAGGAGGGCAGGAAGTTGACGAGGCACTGGCGATCCTCCTCGTCTTGTGCTCTTGAGATCCCTACAGGAATGCTGCTAGACTCTCCCTCACCCTTGCATCGTTCCTCCTCTTCCCTCCTCCGCCAACCCCGCACCTTGACCCGCTCCACCTCTGCTTTCCTGCGCCAACCCCTCACGCCCTCCCCCTTGCCGCGTCCCCCTTTGCCGCCTCTCACCCCTCGCCCCCCCCCGCATGCCTTCTCTGCCACCTCCTCCTCCTCCTCCTCCCACAGGCAAGCGGCCTCAAGATCTGTGTTTTGCCACCTTGTTGAATCTGATCAAGTGGTGGATCAAGGGGTGGGTGAAGCGCCCAAGGCGGGTCAAGTAGACATTCAGAGAAGCAGACACGGCCGATCACGCAGCAGCATCAGCTTCAGCTTCAGTGGGACCAACAGCAACGTTGGGTGTTGTGGTAGTGAGACTCCCAATGCAATCCGCAGCAGCAGTAGCAGCAGCAGCAGCAGCAGCAGCGTCAGCATCACCAACAACAGCTGGCAGTTGGGTCGATCGGCTTCTCTTCACGTCCTCATCCCGCCTCCTCTCATGGACGCCCCATCCTCAACCCCTCCCCAGGCAATTCCTTCCTCTTCTCCCAATTCCGCCTACCCTCCCTTGAAACCTCCTCCTGGTATGGCCTCTCCGTCGCTCTCTTCCCTACCCTCTCCCGTACCCTCTCCCATGCCCACTGATAGAGGAGGGATGTACGACTTTCGGCGGTCAATCTCCGCTCAGACCGAACGGGAGTCCCAAAAACCACCTGCCAGGGCTGGGAGGCTGGAAAGGTCTGGCAAGTCAGGGGGGCTGGGCGCAGATCTGCTGTCTGACACACCGAAAGAGCGTGCCGGTCTGCCCAAGACGCCGAGGGCAGGAACCGATCTTCCTGGAACCTCCAAGGGACGCAGCGGGCTGCCGAAAACGCCGAGAACGTCGAGAACGGCGGAAGGGGATAGCGCCTTTCGTAAGTCGCCAACAGCAAGGAGCGAGCAGCCCAAGACCCCTGAAGCAGGCAATGAGGTGCCCAAAACCCTTCCCAGAGCACGAACTGAGCTGGGGCTGATGGCCCCAAGGGGGCAAAGGGAGCTGTTCAAGACCGCCAAAGCTGCCGTTGGTGCTGGTGGTGGTAGTGGTGCTGTTGGTGGCACTGCTGGTGCTGCCGGTGCTGCTGGTGGCGCTGCTGGTGCTGCTGCTGGTGCTAGTGGTGCTGTTACTGCTTCAAGTCCACGGGACGCAATGGATGAAGCTGCTGACGGCAGCAATGCGTCATCAACGCTGACAGCGGGTGGCGGCGGCGGTGGTGGTGGTGGTGGTGGTGGTGAGAGAAGCGGCAGGAAGAGCAGGATGATGAAGGCAGTGCTGAAGCTGTTTGGGAAGAGCCGGGGGAAAGGCCAGAGCCAGAGCCAGAGGCAGAGTGAGAGGCAGAGCCAGGGCGAGAACAAGAACAGCACGCAGGGAGCACCTGCAGATGCTCCAGCTAGCCAGATCACCCCTTCACTGAATTCCCGTTCCCTTAAGGGGCTGGATGTTGCTGGGTCTGCTTTTGGGGGCTCGTTTTGCTCTCTGGCTGCTGCCGCTGTTGTTGATGCTGCTGGTGGTGCTGCTTCTGGTGCTGCTTCTGGTGCTGGTGCTGGTGCTGGTGCTGGTGCTGTTGTTGATGCTGCTGGTGGTGCTGCTTCTGGTGCTGGTGCTGGTGCTGGTGCTGGTGCTGGTGCTGGTGCTGGTGCTGCTTCTGGTGCTGGTGCTGGTGCTGGTGCTGGTGCTGGTGCTGGTGCTGGTGCTGCTTCTGGTGCTGGTGATGATGCTGAATCTGTTGGTGACCTTGACGCTGATGCAGGAGAGACACTCTTCGACCTCCCATACTCATCCAATGGTCACCACCATGACGAGTTTTACGCTGACTTCACGATGCCTCTTTCCGAAAGCCCCACATCTCTTTACGGCAACACTAACAGCAGCACGGACGTGTTGACTCGCTTCAAGCGTGCTCTCTCTGACAAGACCGAGCGACCCCTGCCTCTTTTTGAGGACGTTCTTTATCCGGGCAGCAGTCCACGCCTTCCTGACAGCAGCACTGATGTGTTGGCCCGCTTCAAACGCGCTCTCTCTGACAACACTGAGCGGCCCCGGCACGACTCCCCACAGCACAGCCCATACGCTGCTGCTGCGGCATCGTCCTATGCAGCCTCCTCTCAGCATTCAACGCACACTGCCTCTCCACCTCCAAACTCAGATGTGTATGGTATCCCCGTGCACACTACTCCCGTGTACCCTTCTCCACTGCGTCGCCATCAGCCACGCAGCAGCATCGTCTGTAGCAATGTCAGGTGCACCCACAATCCTGGCAGCAGCAGCGTGTGCAGCAGAAGCAGGAGCGTCTACATACCTGGGGGCGGCAGCGGTGATATCAGCAGCAGCAGTGTGGGGGGCAGCGACAGCATGAGCGTCAGCAGTCACGGCAGCAGCAGCAGCAGCAGAAAGGTATCCCGGGCCCTCACCCCCACGCACACGTCTCACCTGCAAGCCTCCCCTTTAACCACGCACTATGTTTATCGCATGGCCAGTGGAGGTGGGGGAGGAGGAGGAGTAGCAGGAGGGGGAGGAGCTTTTGGGCTCTCTCCCACGTCCGTCCCACGCCCCGTCTCTCGCTGGCACAGGAGGAGCCGGTCTCTCACAATGCTGCAGCGAGCCTACGGTTCGGCCAGTGAGTTCCTGGGCTCGAGTGATCTGGATCTGCTCCTGCTGCAAGAAGCACCTGAATCAGATGAGTCACAGGAATTTCAGGGGTTGCAGGCATTGCAGGGAGCAGCGGCAGCACGGGAAGGACAGGAGGCTCAAGTAAGGCCCGTGCCCCGGCTCCCTCCAAAGAGTCCCCGAGTCCCTCGCAGCTCACAGGCGCGTGCAGACTCGCCTCGGAATCCCTTCTGGAATTCGTCCCAGAACCCGCCCCAGAACTCGGCAGGAACGTTTGGGTGGGGCGAGAATGTGACCCAAAAACTGCCCGAGAATTTGCCAGGAAACTGGCCCCAGAAATCGACTCAGAAATTGGCCCACAAGTTGCCCCAGAGCGTGTGGCAAGTGTCTTCACGTGGCGCTCAGCCTTCACAGCCTGAGGCGAGCACTGGTTCCTCTGCTCTCATGCGAAGCCAACGAGCAAAAGCTGCTGCCTTGGAATCAACTGAGAGCTGCAGGCATCCACCTGCTGGGGAAGAGCATTTGCTGCTGCAGCAGCAGGAACGGGAGCAGCAGCAGGGAGAGGAGGGGTTGAAGCAGGCAGCAGAAGGGCAGAAACTGCGGCAGGTGGCACACGGGCAGGTGGCACAAGGGCAGGAGGCGGAAGGGCACAGTGTGGGGCATGGGGGCTATGAGGCAGTGAGAGCCTCAGCAGCAGCACAACTGGCGCCACTCATTTGCCTCACCCCGCCCTGCACTTCCCCAGTTGACGCCTCCCCTTCACCAGCTAATGCCTCCCCGTCACAAGGTAGCGCCTCCCCTTTCCCAGTTGATGCCTCCCCTACCCCAGTTACAACCTCGCCTTGGCCCTTTGGCAGCAGTAGCAGCAGAAGCAGCAGAAGCATGAGCAGCAGAGACATAAAATCAGCAGCTGCAGCTGCTGCTGCTGCTGACGCTGCTCTCACCGCTGCCGCTTCAATCATCGCAGGAACAGCAGGAGCTCAAATAGAGGCAGTGGGTGGGTTCGTGGATGGATATGTGCACGGTTTTGAGCCGCCTCAGAACCCGGTTGATGATGGGTATGTGGATCGATACGCAGTCAAGGAGGTGAGTTTGGATGAGCAGCAGCAGAGGCAGCAGCAGCAGAAGCTGCAGCAGAATATAAAGGAGGAGTGGAGGGGAATGGGGGAGAGGGTTGTGGAGATGGAGGATGAGGAGAGGGAGGGGAAGGAAGAACAGGAAGAGGAGGCAGAGGAGGGATCTGCTCAGAAGCACCATACAGCAGCAGCAGGAGAAAGCACAATTTCATGGATGGACTTGAGCTACAACTTCTCGTCTCATCCTGGCGACTCACAGGATTCCAAAATCGTGTGTTCTTATATTGAGGAGCTTGTTGCCGGTGGTCGTTCTGATAGCGAGGAGGATGGCAGTGGCGTGTGTGCTTATAACGAAGCCCTTGCCGAGTGTGTGTATGGGGATGGTTCCTCAGCGAATGCTCCAAGGGAAAACACATGCAGTGGGGAAGAAGGGAGCATGGCGAGCGGCTATGGCAGGCGAGCACACAGGAGCAGCAGCGTGGGAAGGAGTATCCAGGGCGTGGAATTTGCAACTATCACTCCTGAAACCCAAGATGGGAGGCGATCGCGACACCGCAGGAGTGCCAGTGTCGCATGCGAACACACCTTTGAACGCGCCCTTGAAACGACCTTTGTTCCGACCCTGCGGCGCCGTGACAGTATGGGGAGCGTGGGGAGTGTGGGCAGTGCGAGTCTGGTGTGTGAGCGGATTTTGAGTGTGTGTGACATCTCACCTGTCCCCATTATCCTCTCTTCCCACCTGGACAGTCCCGGTTGGACTCGTAGGGCTGCTGAAGCAAAGATTCATGATGTGTACTTTGCAGGTAGTGATAATGCGTATGCAACAGTGGCAGTTGCAGAAGGAGGAGGAGAAGGAGAAGTGGCAGCAGAGGCATGGTCTGCGTCATCCGATGCAGTTGCGGACTACGCTTCTGTCGCAGCAGGGGCAGCTGTAGGATCATCCACAGGAGCAGCTTTAGGGGTAGCAGCAGGAGCAGCAGCAGGAGCGGCAGAAGGGGCAGCAGAAGCAGCAGCAGCAGGCCGAGCAACCCCCTCTGCTGCACCCCAGTTGCCAAGGAGACCTGCAGTTTCACGGCCGGGTGCGTCTAGAAGGTTTCTTCGGACCTCCAGCTGCCCTGATATTGAGGGCATGCCATTCGGCATTGGGCAGCCGCAAGCTGCACCTGCAGCAGCAGCAGCAGCAGCAGTAGGAAAAGCAGAAGCAGTAGCAGCAGTAGCTGCAGCAGAAGCAGCAGCAGAAGAAGAAGATGCAGAAGGGGAGGGAGGGAAGGAGGAGCAGGAGTCACTTGAGTCTCGGTTGAGGCGGTGGCATGAGAGCATGGGTGCCTCATCTTCCTTCTCCCCCTCACATCCTCCCCCCAGAGGGCTCTTTGTGCCCGGCCTGCCCCACTGGACCAAGCGGTCGCTCCCTCGCTCGCTGCGCATCTCCCGCTCGCTGCTCTCCTTTCAAGAGCGAGCGCTGCTGGAGCACCGTCAAGAGACCGCCCTCCTGCAGGGCATGGCTGGCAGATTAGATGGGAAAAACGATGGCGAGAAGGACGGTGAAAACGATCCGTGGAGTGTGAGGAATGGGGAGAGTGACGAAGCGATTGGCGAGGGGAGCAAGGAGGAGAGGAACAAGAGGAGAGCGAGGAGGTGTGCTCGAGCCAACAGCGACGGAGGTGTGGGCTCCCTGCTGTCAGCAGCAGCAGCAGCAGTAGCAGCACCGGTGTCCCCTGGCGAGTCGATTCGAGCGGCCGTGACGGTTTACTCGGCTTCCAGGGAGTTCTGGCGCCCCCCCTCCACCCCCAAGCCTGTGAAGCAAGCCAAGGTGTGCCTCCCCATGTACTCCCCCCCTGTGCCGCCCATCGGCCTCGAGAAGCTGATGGAGGGCGGGACTGGGGCAGGTGGGACTGGTGGGTTTGCTGGATTTGGTGGGGGAGGGGGGTGGGGGTTTGGTGCAGGCTGGTGGGGTGCGGTAGAGGGAGCAGGGGAAGAAAGGAAGGAGGGGACAGGAGAGGCTGGGTGGCTGGGGTTTGAAGGGTTGGTGGATGCGGCACGGGGGATGATGTGGAGGGGAGGAGATGAAGGTGGGGAGGGGGCAAAGGAGGAGGAGAAAGAGGGGAGTTTACGTGCAGCTACAGGGAAGGAGGGTATTGGGTACCAGGAAGGAGGGAGAGAGGCCGTGGAAGGAGAAGAGAAGGGTTTGACTGTAGAAAAGGAGGGAAAATGTTTTGAGAAAGGAGATGAGGAGGGAGATACAGGGGGGATTGCAGGAGAGGAAGGAACAAAGGGAGGTGGGTGACATACCAACAGAAAGAGGTGACTCGTGTTGGGCTGAGTGCCCCTTAGGATCTTTGGTAGGGTTAAACTCTGGGTAGAGTGATGTAGTAGCGGAAGCGTTTAAATGAAGTCCTTGAACCACCTTGCGCTGGTATGTGAGGGCAAAGTAAGTTGATTAAAACAAGCAAGTACAAAGGTTTATATAAGAGTACAAAGAATACGAAGAGATATAATTAAACTGTTTTACTGTTGCGGTTCGATACAGTGCGACTCGGGCAACTGCTCAATGTCGAGTCAGTTGTGTGTCCTTGCTGTCGCGCTGCATTTGTCAAGTCAAAGGTCGCTGACCTTTGACTTTCGCGTAACCTCCAGCGGTTACTTCAACCTCCGAGGGTTGACTCGCTGGTGCCTCGATATGCTCTGCTTCGCTTGTGCCTTGGTGTTTCGACACGACAGAGGCGCTTAAGATTGTTTGTTCCCAACACTCCCCTTCGCTTCTGGAGTGTCGCTGCTGGTGACGTGGCTTTGTCCAGTCAGCAGCATGCAGTACTCGAACTTCTGTTTTTCCGAGCTTCTTGGTCAAGTAGTCAGCTGCCATCTCGGACGTGGGACAGTAGGATAGTTCAAGTCTCCCCTTCTCAATCTCGTCTTTCACGAAGAAATATCGCAGAGCGATATGCTTCGTTCTGTTCGCGAATCCATTTTTGTTGGCGATGCGAATTGCAGATTGGTTGTCGCAGAACAGAGTGAAGTTGGGTAACTCGGCTAACTTCGCTTCTTCCAGCAGCTCGCGAAGATAGAGTCCTTCCTTGGTGGCTGAGCAGAGTGCAATATATTCTGCTTCAGCTGACGAGAGAGCAATTAATTCCTGCTTGCTCGATTGCCAGGAGATCGGTCCGATAGGTTCGAGGCGGTAGATGTAGCCGGTGCGGGAGCGCCTGTTGTCGGAGTCGCCAGCGTGATCAGCGTCGACGTAGCCGATTAATTTAGTCGGTGTAGTTGTGTTCTTGTAGTAAGTTAGGCCGATCGTTGAGGTACTGACGAAGTAGTGGAGAGCGCGGTCGAGCTCCGCCAGGTGTTCTGCTTCAGGCTTCTTCAGGTAGGTGGCGAGCTGGCTTGCGGAGTATGAGAGGTCGGGGCGGCAGGTGACAGCTGCGAAGAGAAGGCATCCTAGCTTTCTCTGGTAGTCGCGTATCCCGGCGGATTTGAGTAGAGAGGATCCTTCCTTGTGGTTTCCTGTCGCGTAGCGGTAGGGCGTAGAGATGGTGGTAGGTGTGAGCGCGAAGCGTTTGGCGATGGTGTACTTAGCGGCGTTGAGGTAGATCGCGCCTTCTTCTTCCCGAATGTTCAAGCCGAGGTACTGTGTGACGGTAGAGGAGACCGTGAGTGTGAGGTCCCTCTGTAGCTCCCCTTCGAACCAGGTGGTGATGTCGTCAGTGGAGCCGATGTAGAGTAGGTCGTCTACGTAGACGATCAGCAGAATGTAGTCGGTGTCTTTAGTGAGTCGGTACATTCCTTGGTCGTGAGGTAGTTGGCGGAATCCGATGCGAATGAGGCGAGCGTGTAGGTACTGTTGCCATAGCCGCGGAGCTTGCTTGATCCCGTAAAGTGATTCCAGCAGTTGACAGACTTGGTTAGGTTCCCCGTTGGTACCGTGTGGGAGCTCGACGAAGATTTCCACGTCGACAGGTGCGTAGAGGAACGCGTTGGCGACATCGATTTGCCGTAGCTTCCTTTTCTTCATGGCGGCGATCGCGAGGAGGATTCGAAGTGAGGTATGTCGGCTAACCGGGGCGAATGTCTCGGTGAAGTCCCGTCCGTGCTCCTGATCGAATCCACGCACAACCCAGCGTGCTTTGAACTTCTCAATTGTGCCGTCTGCTTTTGTTTTAACGCGGAAGACCCATTTCCCGGTGAGAATGGTCTTGTTCCTTGCCACGCTGATGGGGACAAATTTCCAGGTGTTCCGTTCCTCCAGCGCCTTTAACTCTCTGTCCATGGCTTCACGCCATTTTTCCCTGTGTTCCCCCCCCAGAGCCTGCTGAACCGTCGCAGGCTCCTTAGGAAGAGTGTTGCCGTGGACTGCGGTGACGAGTCCGAGAATCTGCAGTCCAGTCTGTGAGTAGCGGGGAAGAGTTGCATCCTCGGGATAAGCTGCTTCATCTCCCGCTTCTGGATCAGGTATGAAATTCGGTCCTACTCGTTCTGCTTCGTTGGTGTTGACTGTCGCAGGTGTTACGTAACCGTTGTCGGCGAAGTAGTAGAAGGTTTCGGCGTTGACACTTTCGCGAGGGTTATCTTCGTCCATGGGGACGTCGACGGAGCAGAACGGAAGGGGTCCAGCTTCTTCTGATGCGTTGGCCACATTCTGCTCGTCCCAGTCAGCTTCGTCTGCTGCCGAGGCGAAGGCTCGGTCACCACGAAAACCACCTGTGGGATCTTGGTCCTCTTGCAGGTTGGCAAGGTATGTCTGGAGCGTGAGTCGTTCGTAGAAAATGACGTCGCGTGTTGCTACTGTTTCCTTGGAGTGGACGTCAAAGATTTTCCACGCGTTGTAGTTCTTTTTGATGCCGAGGTGTAGTCCCCACTGTGCGCGTTGTGAAAATCGGCCCGCTCGTGCTGCTGGGGGTCGGTACTGTACCATGCATCCGAACACTCGTAACATTTTTGTGCTGCCCTGTTTTCCTGTCCACAGCAGATGCGGTGATGCGTTGTTCGGTAGTGATGAAGATGAGAGCAAGTTGTGCAGCATGACAGCGTGGTCCATCGCGTCAGGCCACTGGTGGTTGGGTAGCCGCATGCCACGCAACAGTTTGCGCATGCTGTTCTGCAGAGTCCTGTTCATTCTTTCTGCTACACCTTGCTGCTGATGGGCGTAGGGAAGAGAGAGGAGCTGCTTGATTCCCCTTTCCGCCAGGTACTGCTTGAATCGCTGAGAGGTGTATTCTCCTCCTCCGTCAGACTGGAAGCTTTTCAGCTTTACGCCCGACTCTCTTTCTGCTACTGGTAGCCAAGCAGCGAATGCTTCGAGGACCATGTCGCGGCTGGGTAGGTTTAGATGCCAGACGTAACGGGTGGCGGCGTCGATGAAGGTGATTGTGTAGTTGTATATTACTTGTCCTGGTTCCCGATTGTACAGGATGTCGCTATACACCTTTTCGAGTGGTGCGTACGCGGGTGTGCTCGGGTTGTGATGAGGAGTGAACGGCCGATGTGGTAAGTCGGCTTCGGGGCAGGTAAGACATGTTCCTCGTGCCCGTTGAAGTTCTCTGCCGTCGAGTAGTAGTAACGAGTCCTTGTCAAGGACTCCTGCTCTTATTGTGTTGTTTAACACAGTGTTGCTTGGGTGTCCCATGCGTGCGTGCCAGATGTCTTCGGAGGCGCGGTGTCCGGGTGAGCGTCGATACGCGTCGGAGTTGGAGTAGAAGCTGGCGGTGAAGTTTGCGCTTCTATGGACTTCCCGTTGAGCCGGATTCAGCTGCTGTGCGGGTGTTGGTGGTGCTTCGTCAACGAGGAGTGGTGTCGTTGTTGCTGCTACTGTTGTTGTTCCTGCTACTGCCGATGATGTCTCTGCTGCTGCCGATGATGTCTCTGCTGCTGCCGATGTTGTCTCTGCTGCTGCCGATGTTGTCTCTGCTGCTGCCGATGTTGTCTCTGCTGCTGCCGATGTTGTCTCTGCTGCTGCCGATGTTGTCTCTGTTGCTGCCGATGTTGTCTCTGCTGCTGCCGAATGTTGTATTGTTACTAACGCACGTGTTCGTTCTGCTTCAGGAATGGTATGTGAATACCAAAAGCCTTCCGGACTGAAGTCGGGGTCGAGATCCGGCGGGTGCGTCCAAGTTGTGAAGGTGACGATCCCGTCACTGTCTGCGGTGCCCAGGTCTGGGACGAAATCGAGAACGAAGACATTGTTCTTCAGGACCGCCTTTCCGATGTAGAGGCCGCCCTTCCCGTGGTACAGCTTGAACTCCTGGGTGGTACTGTCGGCTTCCAGATGTATGCCTTTCGCCATCAACTGACTGACGCTCAGTAAGTTGTAGCCAAGTCCTTCTGCTATTAGGACTTTGGGCATTTGCAGTATGACATTCGTCTCTCGTGACTGAAGTTGCACTACTCCTTGTCGTCGTGTGCGCAGGTTCTGATTATTGGCGACAGTGATGACGACTTCTCGTTGAAGTTGGTGCTCGCGTTGAACGAAACGTCCTGAAGAGCACATATGTTGTCCGCAGCAACTGTCCAAGAACCATGTATCCTTCCCGGACGGCTCGCTTTGAGCGATGGCGGCGTACGTCGGGTTCGGTTGAAGTGACTCGCGGCGAGGCGTGCTGTTGTCGAGTTGTTCTTCTGGTGAGTAATAGTGGTGACTCAGTTACGCAGGAGTCACTCAGCCTTGCCATGCAGCTGACGATGTTTCTTGTTCCTTTCGCAGGTTGTCCCGTCGATGTTGTTGAGACTTGTACTGAAGTTGTCGGATTTGCTTGTGTTGAGGCGACTTGACTGCTTGAAGGGCGAAGTTGGCGTTGCGGCGACGTTGACTGTTGTCGATTCGGGCAGTGCGTACGAGGATGCCCTGAAGTCTTGCAGAGGTGGCAAAACGGAGGTACGATTTTCGGTCGATTGTTGTTGTTGTTGTGGCGCCGTTGAGTGTGAAACGCGAATTCGGGCACTGATACCTTTCTCTTGTGTCGTTCTTCTTGCAGGTCCATGTCTTGCTGCTCGGCGTGGATTTCGGCGCAAAGTGCTGCTTCAGAAATTTTCCCGTGGGCTCGTAGTATGGCGCGAGTGGAGCGCCAGTGAGGACCAAGACCGCCGATGACAACCGTGACGAAGGCGTCCTCTGAAATCGATCCTCCACATTGAAGAAGCTTGTCGCGCAGCTCGCGGCAGCGACTGATATACGCCATTCCCTTCTCGCCTGGTTTCATTTCGATTGTTGTCAGCTGCGCCATTAACCGACTTTGGTTTACGCTGTCTGTTGCTTGATACAGGCTCTTCAAGTGATTGTACGCGAGCTCCGCGGAG